CGCAGGCAATGTGAATTACGGCGATCGGACACGTCGACTCTCCGAATTGCGAAGCTGGTGCGCGCAGGAGTGCGAATTGTGCAGAAGGTCACCCTAAGGCTCGGGAAGGTCCTATAGGAATCCATTTTGGGTTTCCTCATGTCAGTTTCATCCTTCGAAGTGTTAGAAGTCGATACCGCACACGCGAAACTCCAAAAGAGGACGGAAATAGGTTGAACTAAAACGAGGCGGGCACCACTTCTAAGGTTCTAAGATAGTCGCAGGAAGACCCCTAAGGCTAGATCCTAACTCCTACGAGGAATACTAGACCTCACGAAAATTGAGGTCAACAGTATACATGTACTATTTTTTGAAATTTTGGTGTGTTGTATACCGGGTGCTTTGGGTTCCTACTTCGACCATCTCATCCAATATTTTTTGTATCACTCCTTTCTAATATATTAGCCCTAGGACTTTTTTTCTTAAAAAAAAAGTAATTATACAAGTGTTGTCAAGTTGTTGGAACATCACATTATACTTTAAAGGTCATAAAATATTATAAGCATACATATATATGTGCATAATTTTGAAACTATGATCTCACATGTACTCCAACCAATATATTGATTGTTTAAATAATAGGTTTGATAATACTGCGCGGGCTCATCGAGCCTTCTTACCTAGAGAACAGAGTTGTAAATCCCATTCCACTAGTCTGCTCATACTCCTCGTAAAGACTAGAGTTGATGAGTCTAATAATTTTGAAATAAATGTTCAAATCCTAAAAATAAAAATTTACAAGTCAAAATCACCATCTTTATAAGAACAAGAGTCAACATGACTTGTATCCTATAAATCTAGACTAACAAAACTAAATGCCCCTTCAAATATAAAAGTTTTAAATGCTTAAATCTCCGATGATGATCGATTTAATAAAATATTTCAACTATATGGGTCTATTTTCAAAATTAAGCTTCAAACTCTATTTGAATAAATTCAAAGGACATGTATATGAACCGGATCCTTTATAATTGGGACAGATTTGACATGGTTTAAAGATAAATTTTTTTCGATAATGGTCGTGTTGATTGAAGATGTCAACTAGAGAGGACAATCTTTTAAATCAATATTTTCAAATTAATTAACTAAAATACTCAAGTTAAAATTAAATCACTTACAACTTAAAACTAACTCAATCCACCCTCCACAATATTTTGTCGAAAGTGACATTTTTCTAACTAACTTCAGCTAACAATGAGCTAACGTCATATCAAATGTATCTCTATATTCACAATCAAAGCAAATGCACACCAACAAAGACGTGGCCAAAGTCCTCTGTCTGCGTGATTTTGCAGTCAAATGACACCACAAAATAGCAGATACAACTGGAGTCCTCTGACTATAAGTTGTCGCCAAAACACATCATTATATTACGACCATGAACTCAACCCATATGCCTTCCAACGATTTTCTACCCTTTTAGTTGTGAATCATATAGGTACAACTGATTTGCACAAAGTCATCTATTAACTAAAGTCGACTTAAATTTTTCCCTCTTAAACAACATCCACCCTATATCTATAAGGATCTCTTGGACGATGAACCCATGGCAGCTAACAAGAATCATTTTGTCAGGTGGGGTCAATTATCTCCTCCAACTTAAAAGATCACGGACCACAATGACCTAGAATGACGGAGCAATGAGATCTTGATCGGGTTTCATTTTCATTTTTTCCCACAATCTGCTTTAAGTTTCAAATGATAAATTTTGCAAATTAAAATCATATGTTTGTTGCTATTATATGATGAATACTAAATTCTTAATGACTAGTCTTAATCAAAAGTGTTCTTCCATTATTGGAATGGGTAATTAACCATAGAAGTTTTTGCCTATAAAAAACCTAGAACCCCAGATCAAAAAGTCCTCGCAAAATCAGGGTGAAATCTCTTGTTAGTGTTATATCTACAATCCAATCTGCCTTCTAAAAATTTTACCCAAAAAGGTCTCTAAACAAAAAAAATTAAAAATAAATATAAAAACTTCCTAGAGAGCGGTAAGAATTTGTAAAGTTCACAGTATAAATGTAAATGCCCCACAAAAAAAGATTTAATTGGGAATTGTACTCCTACAAGTGTGTGTACCACACGAAACCGAAAAATAAAGTCAAGAATCTGAGCTGTAAATGAGTTCAACAAATAATTAAAAGGCATGGAAAAAAAGGGAAAAAAAAACTGTAGAGACTAAAAGTCAATTTCATGTATTGCAAGTTCTGGATGATATCCTACCAAAACTCATAATGTTGTCGAGAAAATCAGTACCTGGAGTTTATGATCTCTGCCAGTAAGCCTAGAGTAACGCCAAAAAAAAGTGGATGACACCGCATATATCTCTGAATATTATTTTCTTGATCTGTGTCTTGTCTACAGTAAACTTCTCATCTGCACAAGAATAATTAACTAGGCTCATTAGACAATCAATTCTTCCAGAGCGACAGAATTTCAACAGCCAAAAATCAGCAATCAATCCCCGCATGTTAATTATTCCATTAAACATAAAATCCTCTGAAGATCATTTCCTAAAGTCCAGGCCAAACCAGATAAGTAAAATGACTTAAATGACAATAGACCATTTACTATCTATTCAAGAATATTATGTTCTTTTTTTTAATTAATTAGAACAAAAAGTTCAAGATATAAGAAAAAAGACATTGATTTTACCAATGAATTTGAACTTATAATTATTTATTTAAGATTCTCTGTTTAATCCTAGCGATATACATGCAATAGAAATTGGAATATAATATATTTATGATTTTGATTGAGTAAGATTAGCGAAAGATCACTTATATTAAAGAAACTTGGTTACTTGGGGCTATAATTACTAAGTATTAGCCAGAAAAAAAAAAAAAAAAAAAAAACTCAAAGGCTTAATTCAGAGCCATCACCCATGGGCTGTAAAGGTATGTGGAGGAAAGTTACTCGAGGCACTAAGAATATTAACTGAGAAATCTGAGTTGTTATGTGAAAACAAAGTTGTTATAAGATTTGCAAAAAAATAATGTTCAGAATGAAAAAATAAAACATGAAAAAATGATCATCACTTATACGAATAAAAGCATGAGGAGGAGCTCATAAGACTTGTATAAATGCCTAAAAATCATCAACTATTACATGCCAACCTTGAAATTTTAAGGTTCTACAACCAACATGGAAAAAAGTGGGAATAGTCGAACCCCTTACGATGCATTGAAGAAATTGAAAATATCTCCCTAAATAGGAAACCGTTTATGTTTCAAATAGAGAAAAGATTCGGTATAGAAGATTCAAATCAATTCCTCTTTATTTGTTTTTTGTTTTCCCTAATGCATTTTAGGTAGTTCTTTGTCCATAGTAAAAAGCTAATTTTGATCCCTTAGCTATACAGCTACTCTGGTCTAACACATCCAAAACTAGAGGAAAAATGGAAAAAAAAATTGGATCTTTCTAAAATCAACAAGTTATATGCTGCATATCACCTTCACATGACGTATCATTGATTAACTCAAAGAGGTCTTTGCCTTCATCTGAGAAGCCCCAACGATTTGGAGCTGGGCCAGCAATGTATGCACAGGCTCTCTCATCAGTGTCTTTGAGATATACCTGTAAATGCATAAATAAACTTTGTAATGCGTTGATTTTGGTGACAACATGATAGAAATTACTAGGTTGCCTTGACAAAAAACTGTAATTGCTAAAGAACAAGTTAAGCAGAAACAAGCTAATGCTGAATAGATTTACTTTCTACAGATTCTAGATAATGTTGATACATAAAAATGATATTAAGTGCAATTCAATAAATGGAAACAAACAATAAGAAATATGTTTGGTTTTTTCATCCTTTAAAGTAACTTAACTGTCCAAGATCTTTAAAGTTATATAAAGAATGTGAATGCCAAATAGTTCCTAGAAAAGCTTTGTACTCTCTACAGCAGTTTCAAGGAAACCCTCAGAACTGTCTTGCAAAAATATAAGGCAAGTAAACTGAATTACAAGCATGTCCACTTTGTTCTATAACATCCAAAAAATGTAAAACAGAGCCAAGTAAGTCACACGGGGTTTGGGGCCTGGCTGAACCGGCCAGAAGGTTCAGCAAGGGAGAGTCTCGGTTCACAACTCAATTTGATCAATTACAGATGAAATATGAGTTAATCAAGCAAGAGGAATACAATATAGCCCAATACCTAAAATGTTAAAGCCCGCTATTAACAAAATTCATCGCACAAAGGCCAAATGCAAAAGAAAGAAAAAGACACTTTGTCGGGAATATAATACATATATAATAGCCTAGGCCTATATATATCATACATACATACATACTCACATACCCATGCTTCTCAGTCTAACTAGTCGAGCTCCTACCATATGCATGTCTCACAGTTTTAGGAATGTATTACATAGCATTAATAATTAAAAAATAAAAAAAAAGTAATAAAGGCATTATTACCAGTGTCATCATCTCAAGCTCCCACCCAAAACCCTTGATCCCCTCCCATCACTCCGAACCATCAGTCGCGCACATTGAGATCACATTTCCTCCCTCAATGCAGCCCCATGCCTCTCCTCCTTTTGTTTTCCCTAATCCTACATGAAGGTTCTGATTCTCCACACGCTTGGATAGCCACGCGCCAACTCATTCACTCCTCCCTAGCCAGTTCCTTAAGATGCAATTCCCTCAAGCAGTATTGTCCTCCCCCTCTCTCTCTCTCTCTCTCTCACACACACACACACACACACACAAAGTAAGATATGCTATTAAATACAATATATATATATAT